TTTTTTTTTTTTTTTTTCCTTTTTCCTTTTTCCCTTTTTCCTTTTCCTTCTATAATAGTTCCAGAATATTTTACCACTTTTTAAAATACCTTACTCATATAATAACAACAATAATACGATATCAAACATAACGCCAGAGAGTCTCCCAAACTTTTCACTATACTTGTACGGGTTAAACTCTTATTTTTCTTATAACATGAGTAATTTGGTGGCTTACACTTTTTTTAAACTTAAAAAACCAATATAAATAATACTAAAATTTTTTTTCTTACCTTTTTCTTTTTTCTTTTTAAAAACAAAAATTATATTCGTTTATTCCCTCCCGTTTTTTCCTTTACTTTCCGAAATCAATTTCCTTAACCGTTCGAAAAGTCCGAACTTGCTTCTAACTATTACAAGACCACCATTCACGTAGCATTAGTTCACTATATAAACTTTTTTGGCATATTGGCTACTATAATATAAAAAAACTTTTTTCATTTTTAAAAAAAAAAAAAAAATTTAAAGGACAATGAATAGCCACATAAGTAGAACATCAACTTTCTCTGCCCCTGTGGTGCAGAGCAGGCTCGAACACCACCATCATCAACAACAAATGACAGAAGCAAGAAATCAATTTCATCAAAGGTCAAAGTCTTTAAATAATAAAGGAAAGCGCGGTTTTTCTTATAGTCATCAACAAAAAGTAAAGGAGACTACTATTTCATCTTCCTCATCTTCCGATTATTCTCGTAATACCAACAAAAATTTTTCGAATTACAATAATTTTGATTCGTCATATCATAGAGAACAAAATGTTGGATTTAGTAATAATAATATTAATAATAATTTTTTGGTTGATAATGGTTCTGTCGGTCAATTGCAAAGAAAAACGAGTACTTCGAATAGACCTACAAGAAGACATCAACATAGTGATTCTGTTGATGAAGATAAATTTAGAGTCGTTCCTGTCGTCTCAATTCTTAAGAGACCTCAATCTGCTACCGATTTTGTTAAATCTTCTAATACAAAATCAGTTTCTTCTCTCGATGTTACTAAAGAGGAACAGATTGTTAATAATTATCGTTCTAATAGTTGGGAAAAATCTTCTCCTCAACAACGTTCTCAATCAAAGGAACGTCGTCGTTCTGACGTTACTCCTTCAAGGTCTAAGCATACTCAACGTAAAGAGATTAAATCTATAGGATACGAAACCGACTTGGTTCTTAACAACCAACAACTTTCAGGTTCATGTGACGAATCTGATGTAAATAGTAATAAATATGTGAAGTCAGCGTCATCATCTCATATTAATAATACTACTACTACTACTCCACCACAATCAAACAACGCTTTTATTTTTCCTCCTCTTAATTACTCTAATGCTATTATCGCGCTTGAGGAAGGAATGAATAGTAATAAAAAAGAAGACACATACTCAAATTCCGATGATAATATTACTATTAAGAGGTAAATATCTTATCATATACACGCGTGTTTTTTTTTTTTTTTGAATTGATTCTAATTATAATATTTCTTCTTCTTCTTAATTTGTATATAGCTCTCTTGCCAATAAGAATTATATCGAATCTACTCCACGTCGTCTTTCAAGTACTGCCATTGAATTACAAAGTCAAGTTTCTCGTTTCGCTTCTGATTCGGATTCTGATTCTCCTCGTAGACCTGGTGGTGCTCCTAAACTTTATGCAGGTCCTACTTTCCATAATTCACCTGCCCCAAGTGATTTACCAATGCCATCATTCTTTGGTAAATCATCTTTACCAAAAGAATCTAGTCCCTTATCAGTCAACAACTTGTTCACGGTTCCAGAAAATATGTCAAGCGTTCAATCCAGTCAGGATAATTATTCTTCACCTTCATCTGGTAGCTCTTCTGATGATGAAATCTTTTCCATGGATGAACTTGAACCACCAAAAGGTCCTTATTATTATTCCCAAACGTCTACTTTGAGAAAACAAACATCTCAAGAGCTTTTACGTATCTTATCAGCTACCAATACTCGTCAACATCAAACTGCTGCAGCTTACATGGTTCCTGAACGTATGGCCACTGCTCATAATCCCATGCATGTTTATCCTTCCAATGATTTAAATGAGCTTTCAGAAAATCTCAGAAGTTTGTTGAAAATTCACGGGCAGTAAAAATTAAAATTATATGTGGAGAAAGAAGAGAAAGTGAGAAGTAGTGTCTTCTCGTGTAGAATGTGTCTAGATATTATTACTATTCAAGGGAAACATGAATTGACCTCTCTGTTTCACCTTTCCTCTTCAATGCGGCGATATTATTAAAAAAAAAAAAAAACAAAAAAAAAAAAAATTCATTTTACATATAAAATTTTCTAGACGTGTGGCACTTCCTTCTGTTATTATATAATTTTTCATTTTTTTTTGCATTTTTCCCTTTTTTCTGCACCTGTACATTTTTTGTTGCAAGTTTTATTTTTTTTCTGTTATAATATTTTCATTTTCTTTTCTTTTTGCTTTTTTATTACCACCATTCTAATAAATAATCCACCATATTACCTCCCCTTCCTTTATTATTTTTTTCTTTTTTTTATTGCATAGACATATTTCTCCAAATCTTTCCTTCATCATGGATGTTTTTTTTTTATTGCGAAATTACAATGCAATATGCCCAATTATTTTTTCCTAAAAAAATTCGTGCCATTACGTCATTAACTTCCGCATTTTTCATGATTTTTTTCCCTTATTATTCGATTCGATTCATTTTTATGGACACTTTAATAAGAGGGTATATGGAATTTCGTAATTAAAATAATTCGATTTTTTTTTCTTTGTTTATTCTTACAGGAAAGATTTCATTTGTAAATATGTTTTGCGTTATTCGCTTTCTTTTTATACCTTTATATTTAATCACTTATTAGAATTTTTCAAAAATTTTCTTTTCTTTTTTGGATTTTTAATATATTTTTAATATATATCCCCTTCCCTTTTTTTCTATTCCTTTTTCGTTTGTACATTTTTTTGTATGAATACCCCTTTTTTTTTGTTTATTTTTTTTCTTTTCTTTTTTCTTCTCTTAAAAGTACATATTAACTTTTTCTTATTCTGGTATTTGTTTTGAATAAGGAAATTTTCTATTGTACATTTTTCTTTCTTTATAATTTTTTTATGATTAGTACTAGTACTTTTTAGACTGGGGACTAATTCTTATGGTGGGTTTCTCTTTTTTAACACAAAAGTAATCTTTCTTAGTTATTTTTTTTTTTAATCTTTTTTTTTCTTCATTATTGTTAATACAATAATTGGAAATAAGAAGTTGTCTACGGGAATGCGCTTTGTGGTGGGTTAAAAAAAAAAATAGTGATTAAAACAAAAATATTGCTAGTTAAAAAGAAATAGTATTAATAGTAAGATCTTTTATTATTAAAAATTCAAAAGTCCCACCACCTTTTTACTTTATTACACCTTTTTTTACTTTTTGTCAACGCGAGTTATGTGTAATTTTATACATGAGATCGTCAAAAATATTATTATGGTATGCCCTTTCAAATACCATTGCTCCCGCAAAATCATAAATTCCAATTTCCATTTTAAACAAATACACTCCTTTTTTTCCCTAAGTTCTTATTTTATTTATTATCACAAACATTTTAAGTTTTTTACGTTTGTGATTGTTGTAAATTAGTTTTTTTTCGCTCCTTAATAATTTACTTGTTCTTTGTACAAAATATATATACGCAAAAATCTAATTAGTTCTTTTCACTCGATTTAAATTAATTTATTTTTTTCACTAACGATATTATCCTTCTTTCAAACTGATGTCCTTTTTATATAAAATCAAGTTAGTTTAAAAAATGAAAAATGGTGAAAATATTTTGAAGCTTAAAAAAAAAAAAATAAATTTTTTAAAAAAAAAGTCCTTTTTACTTTCAATTTCTTTTTTTTTAAAAGAAAATTGAATGAAAAAAAAAAAAAAAAAAAAAAAAAAGATTTGCGATTTTTCAAATGTTTTTACTATTCCTTATGTGATTAAAATCGGCCAAAGAATTATGGCATAAAGTGTGGTGGCATTTACTGAGAAATCCAAAATACCAGGGCATTAAAAAATTAGTACCGAAATTCTTTAATTCTTTAGTTCAATTGACAACTTGCTGTCACGTGATTAATATCTTTAAATAACGTGTAATAATTTTGACTGGCATTACATAATTTTGTTTAAAGGCAGTAAATTCTTGGTTTAAAATTTGACAATTGGCAATTTGTTGTCACATGATTAATAACCAATCAAATACGGTTAAATATCTTTAAATGACACGTGTAATAATTTTTACTGGCATTACATAATTTTATTTAAAGGCTGGTTTAGAAATTTGACAATTGGCAATTTGATATATAACCAATCAAATATGGTTAAATATTTTTAAATGACACATGTAATAATTTTGACTGGCATTATATAATTTTGTTAAAGGCAGTAAATTCTTTGGTTTGTTATTACATGATTAATATAAATATCTTATAATAATTTTGGCTAGCAAAACATAATTTTGTTTAAAGACAGTAAATTCTTGATTCAAAATTTGACAATTGGCAATTTATTATTACATGATATATAACCAATTAAATACAGTTAAATATCTTTTAAATGTGTAATAATTTTGGCTAGCAAAACATAATTTTGCTTAAAAATAGTAAATTCTTAGTTCAAAATTTGACAATTGGCAATTTGTTAATTGTTATCATATACTAATTAATAACTAATCAAATATAATTAAAAATCTTTTAAATATGCAAAACATAATTTTGCTTAAAAGTAATAAATTCTTTCAAAATTTAACAATTAGCAATTTATTGTCATATGATTAATTATCAACCCCATAAAAAAAAATTTTTCTTTAAAATGTACTTAAAATATACTTATGTATTTTTAAAATGTACTTAAAATATACTTATACATTTTTAAAATATACCTAAAATATACTTAACATTTTAAAATGTAAAATTTTGCAATTATACTTAAATTATATTTAAATTGCAATTAAGTATATTTTAAATATAATTTAAGTATAAAATTTCATACTTTAATAAATATACTTAAAATTGCAATTTTAAGTATATTATAAGTATATTTAAAAAATTTTAAGTACATTTTAGATATATTTTAAAATATATAAGTACATTTTAAGTATATTTTAAAGAAATTTTTTTTCATAAGGCAATCAAATACAGTTAAATATCTTATATAATAATTTTATCTGACATTATATAATTTTACTATTTAAAATTTAACAATTGGCAATTTTAGTGTTATCATATGTATAATTAATAACCAATTAAATATAATTAAATATTTTTAAATAATACATATAATAATTTTGACTAGTATTACATAATTTTATTTAAAGGTTTTAACAATTGGCAATTTATTATTATATAATTAATAAAATATCTTTAAATAATATATGTAATAATTTTAGCTAGTATTACATAATTTTGCTTAAAGACAGTAAATTTTTAGTTTAAAATTCAACAATTGGTAATTTTATTTATAATAGTTAAATATCTTTAAATAACACATATAATAATTTTATCTGGCATTACATAATTTTGCTTAAAGATAATAAATTTAGTTAAAAATTTAACAATTGGCAATTTGTTATTATATGATTAATAACTAATCAAATATATACAGTTAAATATCTTTAAATGATATATAATAATTTTTAGCTGACATTGTATAATTTTGCTTAAAGGCAGTAAATTCTTGATTCAAATTTGACAATTAGTAATTTGTTATTATGTAATTAATAATCAATAATTAAATACAGAAAGAATTTCCAAAATTTAACAATTGGCAATTTTATTTATCACATAATTAATAACTAATCAAATATAGTTAAATATCTTTAAATAATACATGTAATAATTTTAACTAATATTACATAATTTTACTTAAAGATAGTAAATTTTTGGTTTAAAATTTGACAATTAGCAATTTGTTATTATTGTTCGGAGTGTAGCGAAGGACTATTTATTGTATGGAACTAGATAAATTTGTAATACCAGTTTAACCCATGTAATTTTTCCTTCCTTCCACCTATGTCATCATCACAATTTTCTTTTTGAAACATAATGCCCCCTTTATACTTTTTATTTTTAGTAACATTGTATGCAATGTCTTTGATTACTTGATAAAGCAAAATGTATCATATTCATTATATAAAAAAAAAGACCCCATATTTGAAAAAATTTTGTCATATCACATTACTCTACGTATCATATCTGATAAAATCAATAATCAAACAAATAAGTCACATGAAAAAAAAAGCCTTGCTTTTTTCTTTGTTCTTCCCTCCTTTCTTTTGTTCTTCTCTTTTCTCTCTTTTCCCTTTCTTTTGTACTTTCTTATTTCCTTCGTCTTATCCTTCCCTTACTTCTCTCTTACTTTTTCTGGTATTTAGTTTTCTTGAGCGTGATATTTTAGGGTTTCATTTTTTTTTCTTAATTTTTTTATCTTGATGACCAGTTTTTAACATTTTTTTCTTTTTTAGGCATTGTTTCTTAGCTCTTTAGATACATAGAAACTTGGTGAGAACATCTGGAAATGTATTTTTTTGAATTTATTTATTCTAATAAAGCATTGTTAACATTCAATTTTTCTCTTTTTTTAGATGGTTGATGTTTAAAACAAAATACTGAAAGTTACTAGTAGCGCCAAGGAAAAATGGTTTTTTATGAATAAATTTTGGTGTAAACTTGGTCCTTTCAGACTTTTTTTTTATTTTTCTTTTAATGAAATGTTACTAATAGTTTTTTTTTTTTTCTTTTGTAGGTGATTTTTTGAGTCTCTTGGACATATATTTTGGTAAGTGAAGTATTCTTTTTACTTAAATCAATTCTTTTAGCGAAATGTTCGCTAATATTTTATCTTCACTTTTTTTAGAGTCATCTAAACGCATTAGATTTAGATAAGATATTTTTTTTACTTTGCTATTTGTTTTAACAAAATAATGAAACTTTTACTAATAACATTTCATTTTATTACTTTTTTTAAACAGTTTCTTCAAATATCTATGGACATGAATTTCAATAAGGTTGGAAATCCAGTTCTCCCTAGATGCATTATATTATGGTATGTGTTTAAATATTTTTTCTTTGTCTTTTTTTTTATTTTTAACAAAATGTAACATCTGCTAATATTTTGTTTGTTTCTTTAGTTGCAGATTTTAGGCAGCTTTTGGGTGGCAAAACAACTTATTGCTCCAGACTTACAACGATTCCCATTTCTCTAGTATAATTAATACTAATCAAATATAGTTAAATATCTTTAAATAATACATATAATAATTTTAACTGGCATTATATAATTTTATTTAGAAGCAGTAAATTCTTAGTTTAAATTCAACAATTGGCAATTTTATTTATCATATAGTTAAATATTTTTAAAAGATGTGTAATAATTTTGGCTAGCATTATATAATTTTGCTTAAAGTCTTAAAGGCAGTAAATTCTGATTCAAAATTTGATAATTGCTAATTTGTTATTATATAATTGATAACCAATCAAATATAATTAGAAGATATATAATAATTTTAGCTGACATTATATAATTTTGCTTAAAGATAGTAAATTTTTAGTTTAAAATTTAACAATTGGCAATTTATTACCATGTGATTAATAACTAATCAAATATACTAGTTAAATATCTTTAAATGATATGTGTAATAATTTTAGCTAATATTATATAATTTTGCCTAAAGGTAGTAAATTCTTGGTTCAAAATTTAACAATTGGCAATTTATTATTACATAATTAATAATCAATCAAATATAATTTTGACTGGTATTATATAATTTTGTTTAGAAGTAATTTAGATATAAAAAATTTTATTTTTATTTTTCATAAAAATTATTCTGAAAGAGATTCTAATTATTGTAAAAAATGTAGTAAACCATGTTATATCATTCATTTAAAAAATAACTTTACCAATTGGATCAGTGAAAATGAAAAATTAATTATTTGATTTATTTCATTTTAAAAAATCAATAGTCTATTGAATATAGTATTTGAATAGATACCATATAATTAATTTAATAAAATTAAAGAAATAGAAAATAGAGTATTCATAGCAATTTGAAAAGATAATCCTTTAATACATAGGAGCTTAAATGAAAAAGTTATTGTAAAAATAGTATGATAACTAATATTGTATCAAATACATAATGTATTTACAGTAAAAAATGATTTTATTGCTTAAGCAAAACATAACTTCAAAGCCCAAAAGCCTTCTCAAATAAAAGAAAATGATTATTTTTATAAAAGACTTCCACCTATATTATAATTATTATTCTTACTATATTATATAAAAGATATTTATCTATATTTTTTTTATTATATTATATAAAGATTTCCATTTATGATATAATTAATTCATGAAGTTTACATAATGCAACAATTACATTTAATCTTTCATTTTAGGTTGAAAGATTAAACAGGATCCCAGACATCTCTTATAGAACTCACAACTAACTTTTGCCAAAAAAAATCCAATTTGCTCTTTCTTATTTTTCATTTTTTGCGATTATCTCAGCATCTAGTGATCCAATTTGTGCGAACATTTTTTTGTTTTGTAGCTCTCATCGAGCTCTACAAATAAAAAAAAAATCACATAAATCTGATCACTAAATGCTATGATAATCACAAAAAACTGATTTTTTTTTGTAAAATTTAAGTTAATCTGCGAAAAAGTTACCCTTTGAGTTGTATAAGGACCCACTTACTTATAATAAAGGTCACTATAGAAAATTGGCACTTTACTAATAGTTTTATCTTACTTTTTTCTTAAATTCTATTGGTTAATTAGCTAAAAAGAAAAAAAATCATAATAATGTAACATAAAATTTCGTTTTATAGTAGGATCTGTAAAGAATTTTATATATGATTTTTACTTTAGACCTGGGATGACCTATCTTATAAGTAAGCGGAATCCTGTTGTATATATAATGTCCAGAGTTCTGATTAAACCCATTAATCAGATCACTATTATTTTCTGAGTATCTTATAATTGTAATTGATTGCTGTTGTAAACAGTCTACATTAAGTTCCTGTTATACTCTTTCTTAACTTTAGCATGGTAAAATATAATGTAAGTAAACATCATACAGATTGTATATATACACAGGCGATCGCGATAAATCGGATCTTCGATAAACCGGATTTGGTATTATTTCGGATTTTTCTCCCAGAACAAAATCTGTCATATTAAAACAATCGCGATATACCGGATTTTATTAGTAAAGTCGCGATATTTCATAAGTCGGATTTGATTCTATATCAGTTATATCAAAAAAATCTTGATATATCGAATTTTTCCAAATTTGGCGTTAATTTATCCTTTTTTAGTATACCTTTATATTATTGTAATTTTAAAAAAATGGTTAATTCCAGCTGAAATAGTTAATTTTGACCAGAATTAAAATTAATCATTTTATACCGAAATTCTTTACAAATGTTCCATACAATTTTACCATTCTTTTTTTTATATTTTAATCAGATATCTTTCACCTGTGTATAACAGATAGTTCTTTTATAATAATAAAATTATATTTCGTTTTGAATTTTAAAATTTTGAACGAAAAATCACGTGATATCTTGATATTTCATATATTTTATATAAATCCGACTTTTTCGATATATCGGATGTCTTGATATATCGGATATTTTTACTGGAACCAACTGATCCGATTTATCGAGATTGACTGTGTATTTTGATAATTAATTATCAACTTTCGATGCACTACTATTTCGTTAAATAAGATTACGATACTGTTTTTAAGTATAAAAAAATTGTCCGTATAACGGGTTAAAAATATGACAAGTATACACCTAAAGGTATAGTAACAACTACAGTAACGTTTATTAATAATAATTTTAAATTTATTTGTTTTTATCATCATTGCTAAAATATCCTATAAGAACTTATATCTGTATCCTATTACGGTATTCCAACTAGATTGAAATTATTCCGAATGTACGACAGAGTTCCAATGAAATTTCAAGCAAGACCTACAGCTCTTAGAGTCTTAGTACGCCCACATTAACTACAATATATTTTTTTTTTGCGTTACTCGGTATCATTGTTATAATAGACCCCGTTTCAAATTTTTAATGAGAAGTTAAATTTGTGATACGTATTTATTGGATTTGGTATCACACTTTTTACACGAAAATGTTAATTTTATTTCACCAATCATTTATAAAAAATCGAAGGGATACATAACATTTATAAAGTTAGCATTTTTTTTTTTTTCAAAAAAAGAGGAAAAAAATTCATAATGGTTGTTATCGACCGAAAAATTAATTGTTGCTTATTCAAGCTGGTATCAAAATTATATTATTATTATTTTTAGTAAGATTTCCAGAATTATTTTCTAATACGATATTCTTCATTTGCTGTTTTTAACAAAAATATTTATGGTAACATCATCATCTTTTTTTTACAATATTAAAAGATATATGAATTGACTAAAGTTATACGTCTTATTATCCTCTTCGCATCAGATAAATCGTTTAGAAATTGTAAGTTCTTCATCATCATTTGTCACTTAGAATTTTCTTAATAAATATATTTCTATTATTAGCGTTGGAATTTTCTCGTTCTGCATATTCTATAATTGTTGCTTATGGGTTAATAGCAATTACAGCAGATTGTACGTTAAGACACGTGCGGTCGTGCGGTATGTAAATAGACAATATCAATTTAAAATTTTTACCCCAAAAAATTTTTTTGTGCTAACTTTATAAATTATTAGAAAACATCTAAATTGTTATCAATATATTCCAAAGTATTTTACGGAATTGCAGGATTTAACATTTTTAATAGTATAATGATAATTGCTGAAACAATAACTTCTGCGATAGAATGTCTGAAATTAGATAATCTTAATGAAATTCGGATCATTCACATTTATGCAAAGATAAATTAATATTTATTCTTCCTGGCTACATTATTTTGTCAGTATGTATTATTTCTCTCCCTCTCCCTCTCTCTCTCTCTTTGAAAAACAATAACAAAAAAATCTTTTTATAAAAAATTTGTATTTAATTTAGGTGTATTTTGCTATGGTAATCTTAACTTACGTATGTAAAATGAAAGATAAAGATGAAATAACAAATCAATATAATTTACAAGTTTTTAAAAATTTTTTGTTTATAATAATAAATAACATGATTCTATAAGTTTAATGCCATTAAGACGTATAATACTATTAGATCTTTTCATTATTACTTCTTAATTATGTTTGAAAAAAAAATAATAATAAAAAAATCGAACAAAAAAAGATAAAATAGACAGAACCTTTACACGCCGACCACTGATCTTTATATGTCAGACGTCAAACAATGATCTGGTATGCGATTAGAAAATCATGTCAGAAATTTCTGAAGATTCGTATCTGTTGGAAAAAAAAATGAAATATGTTTATTGTACACAAAGCGCAATAAACAATCAATTAAACTGAAATTTCCAAGATTATATAGTACGCATTAGTCGCATTACGTACAAGTTTTTGTGCTATATAGGATTTTCACTCACGTGATCGCTCCGGTGACATATAATGTGTGACGAATATGATGAATATAATTGAACGCGGCCAGGCGTGACAAATATTTTACAGTCACGTGAATGCATATTTAGTTAGCGAAGTACTTAATATATCATGTTGGGCTTTCAGCCATATGTGGAAATTTTATAATGTATCACTCTAATGAGAAGATCTTACATAGGATAATTAACATATATATACAATAGTTTTGTTTACTAAAATTAACTTCATTTTCCCAAGTATCACAAGGATTATAAACTCCGCTTTCAATGAGAATTAGGTAGATCTCAATCAAGGAAAAGAAATTATTATTATCATAACATACAACCCTTATAAAGATATCTTTTTTTTTAAAAAAAAAAAAATAAAAAATAAAAAAAAAAATCAAAATGATTACAATTGATCGAAAAAATAGTTGCTGTTTATTCGTTCCGCTAAAAGCTGGTGTCAATATTATATTATTTTTAGTTTTTGTAAGTTTTCCATGTTTTTTTCTAATCAGTTTGATTAATTTCTAACAAAAATATTTGAAATTTACAAAATTAAAAGGCTTTTGGACTTTTAAAAGTTACGAGTTATGTTAGATTTCTCATATCGTATGAATCATCTAAAAACTGTAAGTTCATCGTCTTTTTTTTACTAAGCTGCTCTGAGTTATTATTATTACTAAATTATTTATTATTAGCGATAAACTTCGTTTATAATGTATATCCTATAATCGTTGTTTATGGATTAATAGTAATTGTAGCAGCATTTGGGTTGTACGTTACGACTTGTGCGGTATGTAAATAAATGTTAATTTTGTTACTCCAAAGAGTATATATATATATTTATTTTTTTGATAAATTTTTAGAATACACCTAATATGTTATCAATATATTCCAAAGTATTTTATGGAATTATTGGTTTTTTCATTTTATATAGTATAATGGAAATTGTTGAAGCAATAACCTTATCTATAGTATGTACAGAACTTTCATACTTATGCGGCCAAAATCATTTGGAAATTATTATTCCCGTAAACATTGTTTTAATCATTTTGTCGGTATGTACAGTATTAATAATTGAATTTTTTTCTCTTCTGACAAATTTAAATAAAATATATGTATTTTATTATAGTTGTATTTTGCTACGGTAATTTCAACCTACGTACGTAAAAGAAAAGACGAATATATAAACCGACCCATTTACGCCTTTTGAAAGAAATTTTTTTTTTATCGTAACAACTTCTTTACTATATCTTGTTTTGTAAATACTGTATATTATATATTCTTTCATATTTATTTCATTTGTTAAAATATATGTAGAATATTAGTGAAATATCTAAATTTATTCAATTACTGTACGTTTTAAATTATATCTTTAATATTCAAATAAATGTTAGCCATAAATATATATACATAAATTAAATTTATATTGTAATTCAAGAGAAATCTTATTAAACAGACTTCGACTATCTAACGATTGTGATAGTCAGCGCATGTAAGAGTACTGTACCATAAGACGATCGGAACTTGCTTTGTAACGATCATACCAGAAATTGTAAGACGTTAATAAGTAAATGATAATCCACAAATATTACTTCTACTAATTTAAATCGTTCGAGACTTTGACGAAAGCTATGTAAATATGTACTTGACTGTCTTGACATGTTTGACAATACCTTTCATGTCTTTCATAATAGACATCTTTATCCAAATAACTTTTTACCGATCAACCGAATAGGTTAATGTATATGTATATAAGCCAAAGATTATGCGTTTGGTTGAAAGGATCATTATTTTTATATGCTCTCAACACGCTAACAACATACAGTATGTGTGTATTTTTTGACTCGTTTGTTCAATTAATCTTATAAATGACTTTTTCGAGAACTGAAATTCACTTTTACATTTATTATGAACGTTACATAATTGACCATTAATAAATATCGTACGTATTATTACTGTGTATAACTCATTTAATTGGCTAGGACAAGCTTGACATAAAAGATATTATAGAAGATAAGTTTTATATTTATTAGATAATTAATAAAAAAAAAAGTGTAATTTTCTCAATTAGCATCTTTTAAACTGGCCAAAATTAATCATAGTTTTTGATAAATTTTTACCAGAATTAATGATAATTTGCAATTACCTTTGTTGGTTAAAAACCTAATATGGAATATTAGTAACACAAAGTCACTTTTTTAATTTTACTAACTGAAATTAATCAGTAAATTTTCTACCAGAATTAATTAATAATTTCCAATTACTTTATGTCACGTGACCGAAACTTTTTTTGTCGTCTAATTCTGGAATAGTTTTTATAGTCGTGGATTTGTTGGCATAAAACTTCAAGGTTATAATACTTAGTACGCATTAATAAATTGTCGTCCCTATTTTAGGTAATAATAATTTATCTAATGAATTGATTATAAATAAGTTGACATGAATTGTAAAAAATAACTTTTTATTATTAGTAATCTCCGTAACTGACCGATTCAGGCCAATCAAATACTGAGTTATTTTTATAGGAAAATTTACATATGTTGAATTGTTGATACGCCAAATGATCGACATAGTTTCTAAACCTGGTCAGTCATTTGGGGTGTGATACTTTATTGTTACTTCTAAGTTTAGAAATTTATTTCGATATATGGGTATATAAATGCAATACAGTTTGATAATGTATAAAAATAACATTTTCGAAAAAAAAAAAATTATTTCCTCTAATTAAGAAAAGAAAATACATTTCAACTAATAACAGATAATAAAAAAAAATGGGTTTACAAATGACTAAATGTTGTTTCTGCATTCCGCTGAAAGCTGGCGTTATAATTATATCATTGCTTTGGCTTGTAAATTTTCCACATTTTTTTCTATCAAGATCAATAGCAATTGAATTTTATTTTAACAATACATTCAAAATTATTTTTATTATTTTGTTTTTTTTTATGTCGTTTTAAAAGTTCGGAGGATTATCCTTAACTATATTCGGAGTCTTGAACTTTATCCTGTATGTGAAGAATAAAGAATCAAAAGGAGCTTGTAAGCCTTTTATTTTAATTCCGCTCAAAATTATTTTTTTTTTTTAAAAAAAAAAATATATAAAATATTTATTTCAGCAAAGGAATACTCTACTGCCGCTACATTTGTTTTCATAATGGTTGTCATTTATACATTTATTACACTCGTAGCAGCATTTGGATTGTACGCTGCAATTTTTTCGGTATGTAATAGAAGATTTTAAAAGAATTTTCTCTTTTTAGAATGAAATTAAACTAAAACTTAACATAATTTTATTTAGAAAAAGTATAGAATGTTGAAATTGTACTCTATATTTGGTTACATCATAGTAGGACTTCAAGTTATAATAAGTACATCAGTAATTGTTAGTTCAATAATTTCAAATGGTGGATGTGCAAATTATTCAGGAGAAAATTCGTATGTATGTAATCAAATAAGTTCCTATAAATTACCATACGATATTGTTTCTGGAATTTGTTTAATTCTTTTATCGGTACGTATTAATTTAAATATTTTTTCTTTTTTTGAGAAAAAAATTATTTTTTATGAACTAAAATATATTTATTTTCTATTATGATATTAGGTATACTTTTCTTTAGTAATTTCAGCTTATGCACGTAGAAAAAAGGAAAAAGAAATAGCAGTTATTAGTTATTTAAATGAATCACCCGATCAAACTAACCATAATTTAGTAGTTGCAAATTAAAAAAGATACATATTTTTGTATTTTCTCTAAATTTCTGCGGTATTATAATGAGATAAAACATTAAGCATTTAATGCGGGTCAGGGTGCCGAATGTTTAGAATATTTAATAATTAATAAAACAGAGATCATATCAGATATTGTTTTTAGATTATTTATATATATACTGTATATAAATTCTTGTTTCAACTTGCATAAGCCGAGATCAACATGTCTTATAAAGGACACAGCCACACAGCCTCCGGTTAATAATCAAACGTAATAATTAATTCCAAGACTGGTTAATCAAATAACTTAACCCTAAATTAATAAAGAAAAAAAAAGAAAAGAGCGACAGAAAAAAAATTGAAATAAAAAAATACTAGTGAAAACAAACAAGTAATTTTATTTCGTTACCTGCGCTGTTATGAGGAAATAAGAGACTGTAATTAAAAATCATGATTTAGCCATTGCGTCATCTAAATTTTATTTGTCCGCTAGTAAACCGGTCTGGATTATCATCATCCCAGGGTGAAAAAATTAGTAAACCATCACATTATAGTGACATTAAAGATTCCTGGTTCTTGTAGATCATTTATTAATATAAATTCTCATGCGATTCTAATTTTATTTCCGTTCTTTGTTTCTTTTTTAAATCTTTCTCTCTCTTCACAAAAATAATATTATCTGTTATTTGAAATTGCTAGTTTTCGTTTCATTTATTCATTAATTCATTAATGTAAAATTCAATTAATTATACGTTCCCTAAATCTATCACATGCATTTTTTTATATCGCGGTAATTATTTAATGAGATAGCAAGATATATTTTATTGGGTTACGGTACATTTCGCCGAAGCTATTTCGCCGAAAATGATAGAAATGATAGCGATTATCACTTTATAAAAATATCAATCGCGCAATGAAAATAAAAAATTTCTTTCTGATTTACACTCGAATATACAAATGACAAATGTATAAAATAAAACTTAGATGTTGAATAATACCTTCGATTCTTGATTGAGTACTTTAATATTTTCATTTTTTAGTTTCTATTTTACATTCTTTTGCCACGTCACCTATTTTTGCGATAAAAATAAAAGTTAAATAAATGTTTAAACAAAAAATTCTTTTTATTCTTAAGTGTCTTTTCTTCTATGATATTATCACTTTAGCATTCAAGTAACTGATATTAAACGTTAAGCAATAAATAAATAACTTTATTTTCTTAAAAACATTTATTCAGTAAAAATGATTAATATATTTATTATAAACAACAAGACAAATTTAATAAAAATTAGCTAATTCAAAATTTTTCTAGAAAAGATTTCTTCATATATTTATTATAAAACAATAAAATAAACAAACGTAATAAATAATGCTTCGGCAAATGTCCATCCAGAAATAAACCATTCGGCGAAATGGCTTCGGCGAAATGGAATTCGGTGAAATGGGTTTCGGAGAAACATCCCTCTGGCGAAATGTCCCTTTGGCGCGGCGAAACAGTACAAGAGGATATACCACAAATAAGCGAACTCGTAATAGTGCTCAAAATAAACAAGTAACACAAACAACAGTGAATGATTTACTTGGTATTTATTAGGATTTCAAATTTTTCCAATTATAAATTTTAACATTTAAAATACATGATTTTTCAAGATAAAATTCCAAAAAAAACAAAGTCTCTAAAAAGAATATTCAAAAAAACAAAACTGCACAAGAGGATATAGTAGATTATTTAGCTGGTACTTATATAAATTGATTAGAAAATCTTTTTCAATTTATTATATTCATTATATTTTTTCTTTTTCAAAGCTAGAACGTCAATTTCATCTCAGCAAGATATTAATAGTGGGAGAAATAATACTATTTATAATTTGCTAATGAAACAGATTCAGGTACCTTTATAATTCTAATTTATTATTGTATTGTATTTGTTTTCTCATAATGAATAAAAAGAAATCAAATAATAAACCAATTACTTTTAATGTTATTGAATTGAATTTTTTATTAAATTTGATAACATATTATTCTTTTTTTTGCAATTTCAATTCTAATTCGTTCATTCTTAAATTCCATTCTTGACCTTTCTCTTTCATATGCCCACCTTTCCTTTTCAACTTCTATTCATTCCTTTTCTATTTCCATTTTTTTTTCCAAAATCCTTTCTCTTGTTTACTCATTTCAGCTATTGCTACAGCCATAACTTCAACATTATTTTTGGGTTTTTGTTTTTTACAATTTTCCTTTTTAATTTCAATTTCTTCTTCAATACCAGTACCTGTTTCTTATGGCAAGCCACTCTGGTCAAAAGTGTGCCGCATTTTGCGGCAGGTGCGCCTGTTTTTAGGCGCCTGATGCGTTAAGTGCGGCAGGTACACCTATTTTTAGGCGCCTGAGTGCGGCAGGTGCACATAGTTTTTAGGCGCCTGATGCGCAGGATGCGCCTGGTTTTAGGCGCCTGAGGCGCCTAAGTGCGGCAGTTGCTCCTGATTGCAGCAGGTGCGCCTGTTTTTAGGCGCCTAATTGCGGCAGGTGCAGCAGATTGCGGCAGGTGCGCCTGTTTTTTTTTCCTTTTCGATCATAGGCTTTTTTTGGAAATAAGCATCTTTTGAGCTTTTAGCATAGATCTACGTACATTGCCATATTAATTTAATAATTTGATAAAAATAGTAAGTTAAGCTTTTTTTTGGTTCAAACTCGTTCCAATGGATTGGATGTTGTTCTATCCTTGGAATTATCACCAGACTTGTGGTTTGTGTGATGATCTCTTTTTATCCTGCTATAGTTATTATAATACTATTTTTAAATGTTTAGTTTATTTCAAAAAATTCAAAATTTATTACAAATCTTATCTACTGTTTAAATTTTCATGATTTATATATGAGCATAAAGAAGTAGTCTTTCCTAGTTAATATTACCTTCAGTTAATCTCAGTTTATTAAACAAAAATAGAAATAATTGCATAAAATTTTTATAAATCACTAATTATTTTGTGTAGCATATATACTACTGTACAATTATATAATCCATGGTTTTGTATAAATGTAGCAAATTAATAGAAATTACTCAGCTTGCTCAAATATAGCATTGGTATTGAAAATTTTAGTTAACCAAAGTCATGTACTATAAATATTTATACTAGCCCTGCTTATCCGATTCTAGTGTAATTAATTTTAGCAAATTAAAATTGAGTATAAAATCATATTCAATTTTTTCTTTTTATTTTCAACCGATCATGTTAAAGCTGTATTGCATTTTAAAATTTCGGAATACACAGATCATCAATTTTCTTCAGTTGTTGTTCCAATTTTTAAAAATTTTGAAAAAAATCAAATGGAAGTAAACAGGGCTACTGTCTAGAATTGCATATAGTATTCCCTTTTCACAAAGCAGTAACCCTACCTATGATAAAAATAGTTTACTAACTTTAGCATTGCCTCAAAATTAATCTCTATTTTATTTTTATTTCATTTTAATAATTATTTTATCAATATTAATCTCGTTTTTTCTTGTAAAATAAAATTTCTGTCTTTAAAAACCTTACTTAACAAAAAATTTATAATATATTAAAGGGTTTAAATTTTATATGCAGGTGCATTGCAACGCACCCTTTATAATATCTCATATATAAAAGTCAAAAATACCATTCAAACCATACTTTAGTCTTAAAGTAAAGTTGTAGGGCAAGCAAAAATACGCATAGTACGTGTCTTTTGAAAGCTTTATAATATGTACATAAAGTTTATGCGACGTTTATTCAAACATCAGAAAATTTAACGATGTCACGTGATAATAAATGATCGACATATTTACTATGAGAAAATTACCAAAAAGGGGGCGCGTTGCTACGCACCCGCGTAAAAATGTTTTTTCCTATATTAAATTACTATTAAATTATTATGTTTAACAAAAAATAATTTTTTTTTTACAAATACTTTTATTAAAAAATAATTTTTTTAGCATATTTTTAAATTTTATAACTTATAATATAGTAATAATATTAAAAAAAATAATTTATACCCTATAAAAAAATTGGATACGTTTTTTATAAAGTTTTTATACGATTTTTTTTCCTTAGAAATAATGTATCATAATAGGATACGGGAAAATGCACAATTCCGTATCACTAAAAATATGGTTTGGATACGGAATTTGCACGGGATTTATATGGAATTTACATGATTTGATCACTGATTTTATCACGGAATTTATACGATTTGGTCACTGAATTTACTATTTGTATTACAGTTTACTATAATTGTATTTACATAAATCTAATTTTACTTTATTAAATTAAATAAAAAATAAAAAATAACAAAGTACAAATACATTATGAAAATTCCCTCCTTATTAAAACCAACTATTGCAACCAAAATTATCTATAAGTTCAGGTTCATTTGGAGTCAAATAACCTAAAAGAACAAAAAAAAAGATTGGAAACAAAACCCCATATAGTATCTGCAATCGTCCAAGTCACCAAAGGTCAGCATTCCTACAAAAAAAGAAAGAGAACTCCAGAATGTCTGACCTACATAAAAGAAAAGAATTATGAGGCGTCTATTGAAAAAAGAAACCAAAACAACAAAATAAATCCAAAACTGACCTACAAAAAAAGAAGACTCTGAAGCAACAAAACTGAAACAACCTACAAAAAGAAAAGAATCTGAACCCAACTTACAAAAAAACAAGAAAATTTGAACTGACCTAAAAAAAGAAAAAAATCCTGAATCATCC